AAATCATTCCGTGTTAGTGAACAACTGACGAATACATGTAAATAACGCCAGAGGATAAAGGGGTGTTATGAGGGCGTAGCTCAAGTTCGGGGGCGGAGCTACGTCACAGACGTTCCACGTTGCTAAGACGCGCACCACTGTACCATGCATTTCTATGGGCTCTGTGCGCGCTGCTGTGGAACGCCGGTTGAGCTGGTGAAAATTCGAGAAAACAACACAAACTCAACTTTGAAGTAATCCAGAACAACCGAATTAATATATGTTACAAAAGTAGGGCTAATCTTGTTACACTGGTCAGGGGAGTCTCAACAACCATCCTAAAGTACCGTTTTCTGTGAGTTTTTGGCCTTTGTTTTCACCGCGATGGGTGCCAGGCGGTGAAAATGCCCGGATGTCCGCCCGAGGATAATTTGAAGTAGCAGGCAAGGTCAACAGAAATGTCTCATCATCATCTATGCTTTCAGATGATGTATAGAATGTATGGAAGTGTCCCTTTAAATTAAATTAGGTTTAATATCATTCAAACTGTTTCATCTAATGTCTCCGAGCCAAATTATATAAGGAATACTATGTACAAACAATCACAACATGAAAACCCATGCAAATTTGTTATGGCATTTCAGACTTTTCTCTCAAAAAATGTTCCTTGACCCAAATTTTAAAAAATTTTCGATGTAATCTCATAATTTTATTCGCAAGTTTAAAAGGCAATTAACATTGCATTAATATGTACAGAAAATAATTAAAAACACTTCTTGAAAGAGCGAAACATTATGATTATTTGTTAGCGATTCACATCGTATAATAATATCATGAAAAATTTGCTCAATTTTAAAGAGGGGTCACATGACTTACACTCAGCATGCTTCTTTATTTTTCATATCTAGGTATTACTACATCTGTAAATTCAGCAACTACAGCAAAATATTCAACCACAACACAGTGAAGGTGATTATTGGAATAGTGTGGTTCGTATCTGCTGTGATATCCGCCATGTGCCTGGTACCTCAATGGTCAAACGTGGAATATTCACCAGGCCACAGCAGCTGCATGCCCAACTTTAAATCGTCATCTGTTATATTCTGTATCATCTTATTGGTTGTTGCTATCCTGATCCCGAACTGTACCTATGCTTGTCTCCTATCTACGCATCTTTCTCACAGTTCACAAGAGCAAGAGGAATGTGAATAACTTCAAAATGTTCGAATCTGCTACAGCAAAGTCAAATAAACCATCGCCGGATGACAGAGCTGCCAGAAAAACGGACTCATGGATCACAGCGTTCACACAGGTGATGGAGAAAAGGCGAGCTAATCGACAGAAAGAGGAACTGAAGCTCACTAGAACATTGTTTGTAGTGTTCTTTGTTTACAACTTGTGTTGGATGCCTCTTGTAGTTACTTCGATGCTTCAGGTTTTCGGAAAAGCTGTCTGGAGGGAATGGTTATTGGCCTCCATCATATGCATGTACCTATCGAGTGCTATTAACCCATACATATATGGTCTGGGAAACAGACAATATAGAGATGCTATTAAAATGACATTTCAATGTAAGAAGGCTGAGAAGTTGACAACAGTGGCTGAGATTACAGAGCGTAGAAGTCAGGTGGCCAGATGGTGGGGTCTGATTGATCGATTGCAGAACAGGTCTAATGAGTCCTCAGGTACAGATACAACAGGGGAACGGCTTAAAACAGACTTGATGGAGACCACTGGCTAACGCTTTACGGCTGATTGCTAGAGGCAATGTACAGTTTCTCACAGCGTCTCAGTGTAACATCGAGACAAATGCTGGAACAGTGGAACAATCTGATGTCTGATTATGGGCGTTCATTCTGAATTGTACGAGTTTTAATGCTTTGCGTAGACTTGCTTGCAGTCTGTTGCGATCCTGGTGAAATATTCTTGGAAAATAAGTATAAATTGCGTAAACGAGGGGTGATCGCGAAAGTCATGTGACCGCGAAATTCGGCCAGATTCGGGCTTGTAATGATTGACATGTCTAATATGTTTCTAC